CCCCCTTCATCCCAGCCCAGGATGTGGGGACCCGCTCCTGCCCCTGGGCCTCGCTGCTGCTGCTGCTGCTCCTGTGTGGCCCCCACCCAGCCCCCGCCACCCGCTGCCCCAGGACCTGCGCCTGCTACGTCCCCACCGAGCTCCACTGCACCTTCCGCAGCCTCAGGGCCGTGCCCCACGTGCTGGACCCCAAGATGGAGCGTGTGAACCTGGGGTGAGGCCTGGGGGGAGAAAGGGGGGAAGGAAGAGGAAGGAAGGAAGGAAGGAAGGAAAGAAAGAAGGAGGGAAGGAGGGAAAGAAGGAAGGAGAGAAGGAGGGAAGGAAGGAGGATGGAGGGAAGGAAGGGAGGATAGAAGGAAGGAAGGAAGGAAGGAGGGAAGGAAAGAAGGAAGGAAGGAGGGAAGGAAGGAGGGAGGGCGGGAAGGAAGGAAGGAAGGAGGGAAGGATGGAAGGAAGGAAGGAGGGAAGAAGGGAAGGAAAGAAGGAAGGAAGGAAGGAAGGAGGGAAGGAGGGAGGGAAGGAAGGAAGGACGGAGGGAAGGAAGGAAGGAAGCGAGGGAGGAAAGGAAGGAAAGAAGGAAGATGATGATGAGTAATGATTCATTATTCTTGACCCTGACCTGGAAACAAAAGTCCTGCCCTCCCAGCGCTGGTTTTCAGGCTGGTTTCCTGATTTCCTCTTCCTGTCCTCTCTTCTGTTGAATTAGGTTCAACCACATCCAGGTCCTGACGTACGCTTCCTTCTCCGGTCTCGCGAGACTTCAGCTGCTGCTGCTGCACGGAAACGAGATCGCGGACATCACCGAGGGCGCCCTGAGCGACCTGGGTGCACTGCAGGTGTGCAGGGAGCGGGCGGAATTGGAAGGAAGTGGGGCGGAAGTTTGGCAAGAAGTGGGGCAGAAATACGCAGTGAAGTGGGACAAAGTAGGGGAGGAAGTGGGGCCGAAGTTTGAGGAAATAGATACGGAAGTGGGAGGAAGTAGGGCTGGAAGTGGGAAGGAAGTTGGAGGAAGAAGGAAGTGGGAAAAGAGTAGGGAGGAAGGAGGGGGGAAATGCGGAGGAAGACAAGCAGAAATGGGGATCAAGTAGCAAAGGAAGTGGGGAGGAAGTAGGGAATCAATGGAGGAAGTAGAGACGGACATGGGAGGAAGTCGGGGCAGAAGGGAGGTGGAAGTGGGGCAGAAATGAGATGGAAATGGATAAGGACCTGGGAAGAAGTAGGGCTGGAAGTGTAGCCGGATGTTGTGTGGAAATAGGGAAGGAAGTGGAGCGGAAGTGGGTTGGAAGTAGTGAGGATATGGATCTAGAAGTGGAAGTAGGGCCAAAAGTGGGGTGGAAATCGGGAAGTAGGGAGGAAGTGTGAGGAAGTAGGGGAGAAAATAAGCCGGAAGTGGGGAGGAAGTGGGAGGAACTAGGGGCAGAAGTAGGGTGGAAGTGGTTAGGATATGGTTCCGGAAATGAGAAGTAGGGTGGAAATAGGGAAGGATGTGGGGAGGAAGTGGGGGCGAAAGTGACCCAGAAGTGTGGAATGACATATAGCCGGAAGTGGGGAAGAAAGTGGAAATAGGACCATGGGTAGGACCGGAAGTGGGGCAGAAATAAGGAAGGAAATGGGCAGGAAGTGGGAGGAAGTCGGGGCTGAAGTGAGGCGGAAGTGAGCCGGAAGTGGGGCAGAAGTGGTGAGGATATGGATCCAGAAGTGACAGGAAGTAGGGCCTTAACTGTGGCAGGAAGTGCGGAGGAACTTGGGGGAAGTAGAGGCGGAAGTCAGCCCGAAGTGGGGGAGGAAGTGACCCGGAACTGGGGAGGAAGTGAGTCGGAAGTAGGGAGGAAGTGAGAATGGGGCATAAGTGGGACTGGAAGAAGTGAGGAAATGTACTCGGAAGTGGGAGGAAGTAGACGCGGAAGTCAGCAGAAGTAAGTCGGACGTGGAGCAGAAGTGTGACAGGAAGTGGTACAGAAGTAGGGTAGAAGTGAGACCGGAAGTGGGGCGGAAGTGACCCCGAAGTGGCCCTTCGGATCCCAGAAACGCCCCCTTTCACCCCCGCAGGTGCTGAAGCTGAGCTACAACCAGCTTCGGGCACTGCGCACAGGCTCCCTACGGGGCCTGCGGCGCCTGTCCCGGCTGTACCTGGACCACAACCGGCTGGAGTCGGTGCACCCGTGGGCGCTGCTGGGGCTGGCGTCGCTGCGGCTGCTGCGTCTGGACGGGAACCAGCTGGCGGTGCTGGCGCCTGAGGCGCTGGCCACGCTGCGCGTGCGCGGGGTCCCAGCCTGCACGGTGCGCGTGCTGCACCTGGCCGGGAACCGGCTAGCCGCGCTGCCCGCCGGCACCCTGGCCCGCGCACCCGCACTGCGCGCGCTGCACCTACAGGGTAACCCCTGGGCCTGCGGCTGCCATGCAGGCTGGATGGAGGACCTGGAGGGGCGGGGCCGAGGTGAGCAGAGGGGGCGTGGTCAAGCGCAGGCCAATGAGGGCCGGGCGGGACTGAGGCAATGCAGAGAGGGGGCGTGGCCGACCTACAGCCAGTGAGAAAGGACGGGGGCATGGCTGGGCATAAGTGAGTAGCCGAGCTCCCCCAGTCACACGGGGCAGAGGCCTGGCCGAGGCGCCCAGGGGGGCGTGGCTGAGCTCCAGCCAGTAAAAAACTGCAGCAGCGTGGCTGGGCTTGGCTGGGCATTAGTGAGGAGCTGCAGGGGGCGTGGCCAAGGTCTAGCCACTTAGGCAGGGCGGGGACGTTGCTGAGGCTCCATAGGGAGGGTGTGGCCCAGCTTTAGCCACTCAGGCAGGGTGAGGGTATGGCTAAGGCTTCACGGGGGGCGTGGCCGAGGTCCAGCCAGTCAGGCGAGGCGGAGGCGTGGCTGGGCGTGGCTAGGCACTAGTGAGGAGCTGCAAGGGACATGGCCTATCTCCTGCCAGTCAGGTGAGATGAGGAAGTGGCTGAGGTGACACAGGGGGGCGTGGCTGCGCTCCAGCCAGTCAGGCAGGGCAGGGGTGTGGCTGAGGCTCGGCAGGGGGCGTGGCCAATCTCCAGCCAGTCAGGCATGGCTGGGGCATGGCTGAGAACCCCCAGGACGAGCGTGGCCGAGCTCCAGCCAGTCAGGCGCAGCGGGAGCGTGGCCGAGGCTCCCCAGGGGGGCGTGTCCCATGTCAGCCCCGCCCCTCTCCCGTCCCCCCCTGCAGGCGTGCTGCGCTGTGGGAAGGAACAGGCATGCGCAGCCTGCGCCAGCCCTGCCGACCGCCGCGGCCTGGACCTGCGTCGCTTGCCGCCACGCATGCGCTGTCGCCCGCCGCGCATCCTCACTGGCCCGGCGGACGGTGAGGAGCCGCCAGAAGCAGAAATGGAGGCAGAGGAAGAGGAAGTGGAGTACGGGGAGGAGGTGGGCGAGGTGCTGCTGAGGCTGACAGATGCCCGTGGCCGCACCGCCGGCCTTGCCTGCCGCCTGTGGCACGCGCCCAGCGTGCGCGACCTCGACGTGCGGCCCGGCCCTGCCCCCGATGTCCCTGTGGGCGTGCGTCTGACCCTCAGCGCCGCCCTCGTCTGCTATGCCGACCCCGCCCACCTCGCACAGGCCCGCCGCCTGCTGGGAGGCGATGACGACACTGATGATGTTGCGCTGACGCTGCGCTGGGACCCGGAGGCACCGGGCCACGCCCACCCGGATAGGGACCCGGGAGATGGATCCGGGGAAGGCCACGCCCAACCCTCGGGCGGAGACCCTGATGGGGAGGAGCTGTATCAGGACAGGGACCCGGATGTAGGCCACGCCCACCGGCAGGGCAGAAACCCGGATGTTGCCCATATGTATCAGGCCACAGACTCGGATGTAGGCCATGCCCACCATCGAACCAGGAACCCTGATATAGGCCACGTCCACCAGCGAGCCAGAGACCCTGATGTAGGCCCTGCCCACGCTCAGGACAGAGACCCGGTTGTAGGCCACACCCATCTGCAGGACAAATACCCGAATGTAGGCTATATGTATCAAGCCCGAGACCCGGATGTAGGCCCCTCCCACCAGCAGGACAGACACCCGGATGTAGGCCCCGCCTACAAGCATGCCAGACACCCAGATGTAGGCCATGAGTATGATCAGGACATAGGCCCCACCCACCCTCAGGACAGAGACCCGGATGTCAATGACCCGGATGAGGGCCCCGCCCACCCTGAGGACAGAGACCAGGATGTAGGCCCCGAGTATGACCAGGATGGAGGCCACGCCCACCCTGAGGACAGAGACCCTGATGTCAATGACCCAGATGAAGGCCCCGCCCACTCTGAGGACAGAGACCCGGATGTAGGCCCCAGGTATGACCAGGATGCAGGCCACGCCCACCCTGAGGCCAGTTTCCCGGATGTCCATGACCCGGATGTGGGCAAGGCCTACCGCCTGGTGCGCGGCCCTGGCGCGTCGTCATCGTCGCCAACGTCACTTCCGGGCGTGGTGGCCCGGCTGTGGGCGCGGCCTGCCTGGCTGCTGCAGCCCGAGCTGATGCTGCGCTGGGCCGGGCTGCGCGGGCCACACGTGCGTCTGACGTGGACGGCGTGCGTGCGTGGCCCCGAGGACCCGGAGGACGCGCCCTGGGTGACCCTCGACCCCCGTGATGACCCTGATGACGTGCACGTGGTGACCCCGGGGCAGACGCTGCGGCTGCGCTGTGCGGCGCAGGGTTCGGAAACACCACGCGTGGCCTGGACGCGGCCCGACGGCTCCATCCTGCGGGGCGATGAGGACGGTGGCCATGACGGGGGGACAACACTGGAGATCCGCGGGATGCGCCAGGCCGACGCTGGCTGGTACCGCTGTGAGGCCCGCGTGGGGCGCCGCGGGGAAACCAAGGCATGGCGTGTGGCCTACGGCGGGGACGCAGCCACGGGGTCCGGGGCCTACACGGAAGAGGAAGCCATGGAATCCGAGGCCTATGGTGTGGATGAAGCCACAGGATCCAAGACCTACGCTGTGAATGAAGCCATAGGATCTGAGGCCTACACTGAGGAGAAAGCCAAAGGATCCAGTGCCTATGGCTCAGATGAAGCCATGAGATCCGAGGCCTACACTGAGGAAAAAGCCACGAAATCTGAGACCTATGGTGAAGAAAAAGCCCACGCTGTGAATGAAGCCATAGAATCCGAGGCCTATGGTGCAAATAAAGCCATAGAATCCGAGGCCTTCACTGAGGAAAAAGCCATAGGATCTGAGGCCTACACTGAGAAGAAAGCCACAAGCCCTGCAGCCTACACCCTGTCTGAAGCCACAGGTCCCACAGCCTTTGACACCTCTGAAGCCACAGGCCCCGCGGCCTACACCAGCTTTGAAGCCACAGCCCCCGCGGCCTACACCCTGTCTGCAGCCCCGGGCCCTGCGGCCTATGGCGGCTTTGAGACCGCCATGGCGAGCCGGGCGCATCGCGTGTTCGTGGTGGCGTTGCGGGCGCCAGCGGCCACGGCTCTGGCACTGCCCACGGGCGTCGCGCTGCGGCTGGGCTGCCGGGCGGAGGCGGAGCCTGCGGCGCGCGTGGGCTGGCTGCTGCCGGGCGGGCGCTGGGCCTGGGCGGGGACGGAGCTGGGGACGGACGGCGTCGGGGTTGGGGCGGACGGGACGCTGACGCTGCCCACGCTGGGCCCAAGGCACGCCGGGCGCTATGTGTGCGTGGCTGCCAACGCGCTGGGGCTGGCGCGCTGGGACGCCGACGTCAGCGTGGGCGGGGCGGCGGGGGACAAGATGGCGGAAGCCAAGATGGAAGGCAACAAGATGGCGGAAAGCAAGATGGAGGGAATTAAGATGGTGGATTCCAAGATGGTGGACAGCAAGATGGCGGAATCCAAAATGGAGGGAAGCAAGATGGCCGAAAACATGGCAGAATCTAACATGCCCGACGCCAACATGGCGGATTCCAAGATGGCCAAAAACAAGGTGGTGGACACCAAGATGGAGGGAACCAAGATGGTGGAATCCAAGATGGAAGGAAACAAAATGGCGGAAGCCAAGATTGCAGAATCAAACATGGAGGGAACTAAGATGGCGGAAGCCAAGATGGCCGAAAACATGGTGGAATCCAACATGGCCGACACCAACATGGCGGATTCCAAGATGGTGGACGCCAAGATGGCGGAATCCAAAATGGAGGGAAACAAGATCAGGGAAAGCAACATGGCAGAATCCAAGATGGAAGGAATCAAGATGGCGGAAAACAAGATGGAAGGAATAAAGATGGCCGAAAACAAGGTGGTGGAATCAAAGATGGAGGGAACCAACATGGCGGAATCCCAGATGGAGGAATCCCAGATGGAGGGAATTAAGATGGCGGATTCCAAGATGGTGAAGGCCAAGATGGCGGATTCAAAAATGGCGGATTCCAAGATGGCGGGCGCTGCTGCGGAAGCGGCCGCGGGGGCGTCGCGTGGCGCTGACGTCATTGTTGACGTGCCTAGCTCGGGCCTGGGCACCGGGGAAGCGCGGCTGTGGCATCGGCGTCCTGCGGGCGGCCCGGGGCGCGGGCAGCAGCGGCATCCGCCGCCTCTGCCTCCCCCTCCCGCCCCCCGCGCCGCCCCCACCAGCCGCAGTTTCGAGCCCGCCTTGCCGCGCCGCCCGCACCCGCCAGTGGCTGCCGAGCACATCCGGCCTGAGCACTGGGCGCGAATCCTGGCGCGCGTGCGCGGCCGCGGCACGGGTGACTTCTGGGCCCCGCCCGCCCTGCTTCCTGTCTCCACGGAGACCTCGCTTCCGGTGTCCACACTTCCGGTTTCTACACTTCCGGTTTCGACGCAAATATCCCCACTTCCGGTCTCTGTGTCTTCCGCCGACCCACTTCCGGTCTCCACTCAGACCACCCCACTTCTGGTCTCCACACTGCCGGTTTCCACTAAAACATCACCACTTCCTGTCTTCACTACTTCCGCCTACCCACTTCCGCTCTCCCCGCAGACCTCCCCACTTCCAGTCTCCACTCGGACCCCTGCACTTCCTGCTTCCACACTTCCAGTTTCCACTCGAAAATTCCTACTTCCGGTCTCCACTCGGACCACCCCACTTCCGGCTTCCACACTTCCGGTTTTGTCTCGAACATCCCCACTTCTGGGCTCCACTCGCAGATCTACACTTCCGGTCTCCACAAGGAGATCCCCACTTCCGGTCTCCATTCGGACTACCCCACTTCCTGTCTCCCCACTTCCGGTTTCCACTCGGAAATCCACACTTCCGGCCTCCACTACTTCGGCCTATCCACTTCGGTTTTCGACTGAGAGATCCCCACTTCCGGCTTCCACACCTCTAGTTTCCCCACGGAACTCCCCACTTCCGGTCTCCAGTCGGACCACCCGACTTCCGGTCACCACTCAGAGATTCCCACTTCTGACTTCCACACTTCCGGTCTCCCTACGGACCTCTCCACTTCTGGTTTTGACACGGACATCCCCACTTCCGGCCTCCACCCCTCGAGCATCCGCTGCTCCGACCTCTGCACTTCCGTCCTCCTCACTTCCGGCCTCCTTACTTCCGGTCCCCAGGAGGCTCGGAGGCGGCCGCAGGCGGGGGTGACAGCACAAAGCCCACCGCGCCCGGCCGAGCCCCACGGCGAACCTCCGTGACCCCGTGGTCACGACCCTGCACGGCCGTGCCCCGGATGCCCTCCTTTCCCGTCCTGCGGTTTCCCCCGATGGTGACCCCAGGACCTTTGACCCGCGACCCCCGGCCCTGCCCGCCGTGACCCCGCCCCGTGGCGCCTGGAACGAGCTGGACACGGGTGAGCCTCAGTTTACCCATCTGTCTCCTGCAGGCTCTTGGCTTGGGGGCGGGGGACTGAGGGGAGCCAGATAGGAGGTGGAGATTAGAGGTCACAGGGAGGATACAAGACAGTCAGAGGTCATGGGGAGGTTAGGGGTCACGGGGGGTCAGAGGTCACAGGGAAGTCAGGGGTCACAGTAGGGTCAGCGGTTGCAGAGAGGTCAGAGGTCATGGAGAGGTCACGGGGAGGTGAGAGGCCATGGGCAGGTGAGAAGTGGATGGGAAGTCAAAGGTCATGGGGAACTCAGGGGTCATGGAGAGGTCACGGGGAGGTCTTGGGTGGGTCACTGGGAGGTCAGAGGTCATGGGGAAGCCAGGAGTCACAGGAGGTCAGAGGTCACATAGTCAGAGGTCATGGAGAGGTCACAGGGAGGTCAGGGGTCACTGGGAGGGCAGAGGGCATGGACAGGTCAGAGAGCATGGGGAGGGGAGGGGTGAAGTCCTTTACTCTGTCTGTCTGTTGTCTGTGTTCCTGGCCGTGTGGGGCACAGGATGACTGGGGAGACAAACACACACGCACGCACAGACAGACATAGAGCAGACAGATAGAGGGACGGATGGATAGACAGACAGACAGACAGACAGATAGGTGGATAGACGGATGAATGGACAGATAGAGCCATAGAGAGACAGACAGACAGATGGACAGAAGGACGGATAGACAGGTAGACAGACAGTAGACAGACGGACAGATAGACAGACAGATAGACTGATAGATAGATAAACAAATGGACGGATAGACAGAGCCATAGACAGACAGAGAGATACATGGACAGATGGATGGAGAGACAGACAGACATGGAAACATACATGGTTGGATGGATGGATAGATAGGTAGACAGACAGACAGCTGGATGGATAGACAGACCAATGGACAGATAGACAGAGCCATAGACAAAGAGATAGATGGACAGATGGATGGGTAGACAGACAGACTGGTGGATATATAGACAGATAGGTAGACAGACACTTGGCAGACGGATGGATACAGAGACAGGTGGACAGATGGACGGACAGAAGGATGGATAGATAGGTAGACAGATAGTAGATAGAAGGACAGATGGACAGATAGATAGGTAGACAGACAGATAAACCAAGAGCCATAGAGAGACAGACAGACAGATACATGGACTGATGGACAGATAAACAGACAGACTGATGGACGGATAGACAGAGCGCCGTAGACAGACAGACACCAGAAACATGGACAGATAGATAGAAAGAGACAGACAGACCGACCAATGGAAGGATGGACAGACAGAGCCATAGAGAGATAGACAGACAGAGAGATACATGGACAGATGGACAGATAGACAGACAGACAGATAGAAACATACATGGTTGGATGGATGGATAGGTAGACAGACAGACAGACAGATAGATAGACAGACAGACCAATGGACGGATAGACAGAGCCATAGAGACAGATAGAAGAATGGGCAGAGACGAACAGATGGACAGATGAACAGATGGATAGATGGACCAATGGACAGATAGACAGACAGAGGTATACACAGTCAGAGAGACAGATGGACAGATGGATGGATAGACAGACGGGTAGATGGATGGATGGATTGAAAGAGATAACATGGACAGGTGGGTGGGTAGACAGACGGATGGACCGATGGATGTATAGACAGATAGGTAGACAGACACCAGACAGACAGGCAGAAAGATAGAGAGACAGGTGGACAGACAGATGGACAGATAGCTAGATGGATGGACCAGTGGACAAATAGACAGAATCATAGATAGACAGAGCAATGGACAGATAGACAAACAGAGTCATAGACAGAGAGAGAGAGAGAGAGAAAGATGGATGGAAGGAAGGATACACAGGTAGGTAGACAGTAGATAGATGGATGGACAGATGAATGGACAGACAGATACATCGGTGGACAGAGTGACACAGACACATGGACAGATAGACGGATGGACTGCTGGATGGATAGACAGATGGACAGACAGAGAGACAGAGGGACAGAGAGACAGAAGGACAGACAGAGGGACAGAGAGACAGAGGGACAGAGAGACAGAGGGACAGACAGATGGACAGAGAAACGGACGGACAGACAGATGGACAGACGGACGGACAAGTAGACAGACGAACAGACAGACTGACAGAGACAGACAGACAGAGGGACAGACAGACAGACATAGACTGACAGATGGATAGACAGACGGACAGAAAGGTGGACAGAGAAACGGACGGACAGACAGATGGACAGATGGACGGACAAGTAGACAGATGAACAGACA